CTGCAGTGCATCTTGTAGACGGTACACACTGCTGCTACTGAGTATCAGTGGGTGGGGGAGAGTGGATGTTTGTGGATATGGTGCCAATCGAGCTGGGGCTGCTTTGTCCCTGGATGGTGTCGAGCTTCTCGAGTGTCGTCGGAGCTGCACCCATCCCAGGCAGGAAAACAAAGGCTCTGTGATAGAAATGACTTTGAAATGAAATAGAACCCATGACCGGACATAATAACTTCACGCAAACTGAAAAAACTGCAGATGCTGCAAATCAGGAACAAAAACAGAAGTTGCTGGAAAAGGTCAGTAGGTCTGGCACCACCTGTGCAAAGAAATCAGAGTTAACGTTTCGGGCCAGTGACCCTTCCTCAGAATTGATGGTAGCTGGGAAAATGTTGGTTTATATGCAGAAGAGGGTGAGGGAAAGGAGTAAGGAGTAAACGATAGGTGGGGATAGAGCCCAAAAAGATAACAACTTTATGATAATGGTATGCTCTCAGCAGCAGGCCAGGTGCTCAGGTGATGAACTGAAAACAAAGCCATTTTCAGTCTTTCAGAAAATAATGAAATATTCGGATAACAACTGTCAGAAAAACGTCAGTACAAAGCAGACTCACGTAACAGCATAATTTACAAAACGAATTAATGGTTTAATGCATTACATTTCGAATAAGAGAAACTTGTCAACATGCTATTAAGTTAGCAACATGTAGCTTAAACCAAAAAAAAGTCCAATGCACAAAACGCCCCCCACTAGTTTTTGAGCTTGGCTCAGAATAACCAGATTAGAACAATGCGCTCACAACTCTATCCTCATGAGTTCTCCACGAACATCCAATAATCTGATGGAAACAAAAAAATGCTGGAGATCACAGCGGGTCAGGCAGCATCCATGGAGAGAGAGAGAGAGAGAGAGCAAGCTATCGTTTCGAGTCTAGGTGACTCTTTATCAGAGTTGGTGTGGAAGGAGTAAGAAGTCACACGACACCAGGTTATAATCCAACGGGTTTATTTGAAATCACAAGGTTTCAAAGCGTAGCCCCTTTGTCAGGTTGCTATAAACTGGTGTCATGTGATTTCTGAATGTCCGCCCCAGCCCAACATCAGTACCTCCACATCACGGGTGTCGGAGGGGGCAGCTTGTATGGTAGAGTGGGGCTGCCCCCTCCACACTTCACTTCAGTTCTGATGAAGAGTTGTCTCAACTCGAAACGTTAGCCTGCTTTCTCTCCATGGATAATACCTGACCCACGGTGATCTCTGGCACATTTTGTTTTCTGTTCAGATTCCAGCATCTGCAATAATTTGCTCCAGTTATCTAATGGGTCTCTGATTTTCATGGCTTGTGCAATTGAATTAAAGACACATTAACCAATGTCTCATTGTGTCCCGGTTTCTGAGCTTGTTTAAAAGCAGCCTGGGTGCGGAAAATTCTGTGGAAATGCCGCTTTAAAGAGGCAATTCCTTGTAACTGTTTGATGTGACTCCAGTTTCCACACAGGAATCTGCTGAATCGCCTCTCTCCACTCTGCAATCGATGTTTCTTTCTGTTGTGATGACGATCAAACCCTCTTCCAGACACACACACACACACACACACTAACAGATAAACTCTGCAATAACCCAGGTCCCAGTACCAACAACAGCACATGCCGCCTAGTCAACTCTGGCACATTCTCCCTGTTAATATTGCTGGCATGTCGCAAAACTGGGAGAACTGTCCCCCACACTAGTGAGGCACCAAATGTACTCGTGCAGTCATACCTGAAAATTACGTCTACTTCGCCATCCCTGGGTAAACACACAGTCATGTCAACAGGACTGACCCACCAGAGGTACTGGCACGGTGGTACACAGTCACAGACAGAGTTACCCTGGGGGTTCTTGACATCGATTCTGGACCCCGTGAAGTCTCGTGGCTGATGAGTCCATACACGTCCATGTTGAACGCCAGTGGAAGGTGGCAAAGGCACAATCTACAGTGGGTGGGGGGACTTCAATGTTCACCACCATGACTGTCTGAGCAGCAGCACTACTGATCAAGCTGCCAGGTCCTGAATGACATAGAAGCTACAGCTGTCTGCAGTTGTTGAGGGAAAGGACACAGTTGACCTCATCCTCAACAATCTCCCTGATGTAGATGCGTCTGGCCGTGATGGTCTTGCCAGGAACGACTGCTGCACAGCCCCGGTCCAATTTTTGGTTTGTGTAACTGACAGAGTGCCTCAGGGATCAGCGATGAACCTCAACAAACCAGTTTGTCACAAAAGGGTTAGGGACATGGGTTAACGGCACAGTGGCTAGCACTGCGACCTCACGGTGTCAGGAACTTAGGTTCGATTCCAGCCTCGGGTGACTGTCTATGTGGAGTTTGCATGTTCTCCCCGTGTCTGCATGGATTTCCTCCCACAGTCTAAAGCTGTGCAGGTTATGCAGAACGGCCATGCTAAATTGTCCTGGGATGTACAGGCTAGATGGGTTAGCCATGGGAAATGCAGGGTTACAGGAATGTTGTGGGCCGTTGAGTCTGGCTGGGATGCTCTTCGAAGAGTTGGTGTGGACTTGATGGGCTGAATGGCCAGCTTCCACACTGTGGGAATTCTGTGACACTTAACACTTTGTTGCTACTGCAACCATTAGAACGAGATTGCACATTTTTAAACAATAAACAAACATTATTGTACACAAGTGAATTCAACAAAACCAGCACTATTAAATAATACAGTTTAGAACAACACGTGCAAACGGGTATACTCCTTACTTTTCCCAAAGCGTTTTCTTATAAAACACATCAACCATGAAAGTTATTTACTTCTGTAGGGACTATCCAGGAGTCTGCTGCAGTCTTTGGAAACAACCTTAAATCTCTTCAGCACTAATTATTTCCAGAGATGAAGGTTTATTTCCCATCTCTCGACCATGGACGCCTCATTCTTTTGTTCCAGTTACATTCCAAGACTTCCAAGCTGACCTGCTGGTTGTCTTCCCCAGCACCAGACTCTGTAAGGACCTCTGTAGTTTCTTCCGCTGGTTTCAAGTCAGGCGCGTTTACACCTTCTGTTCTCTCAGGAAACTCAGTCTGAGACTAAACCTCGCCCACATTCCACAGGATGAATGATGAAATTAGTTTCTTGTTACTCTGCTTACAGTGCAGGTCTATCTGTCATGTACTTTGGTTGTCTTCTCTCAGTAGGTGGAAAATACCAATTTCAAGCAACAGTTGATGCTTTTATAGTACTGGGTGCTTTTCAAAAGTTAGTTCCTGGAATCTGGCACGGTTAGCATTTATTTCCCTTGAGAAGGCGCGAGTGAGCTGCCTTCTTGAACCGCTGCAGGTAGACAGACTCACAATGCCCGTGGGCCGGGAATTCAGGACTTGGACCCAGTGACACTGAAGGAACGGCCGACATATTTCCAACTCGGAATGAGTGGCGGCTCGGAGGGGAACTTGCAGGGAATGGCGTTCCCAAGTATTTCTTGGCCCTGTCCTTCTCATTAACAGTTGGAAGGTGAGACCGAATGGGCCTTGGGGAGTTACACAGTGCATAATGTAGATGGCACATGCTGCTACCATTGCATGTCAGTGCTGAAGGTAGTTAGGCTGCCAAGCAAGTGGGCTGCTTTGTCCCTGGATGGTGTCGATCTTCTTGAGTGTTGTTGGAGCCACACCCATCCAGGGCAAGTGGGGAGTATCCCATCACCCTCCTGACTTGTGCCTTGTCGATGGTGGGACTGGGCTCTGGGGGGGCTGAGTCAGGATGGGAGTGACTCACTGTAAGATTCCCAGCCTCTGGCCAGCTCTTGTAGCCAATGTGTTTATATTGGCTGGTTCAGTTCAGTTTCTAGTCAATGGTAACCCCCAGGCTGTTGATAGTCGGGGGGGGTGAAATTCAGTGATGGTAATGCCATTGAATGTCATGGGGCCATGGATAGAATGTCTATTGTTGGGGATGGCCATTGCCTGGCATTTGCGTGCTGAGAATGCTGTTTTCCACAGATCTTGCTGCGTATGAACACAACTGAGGAGTTGCGAATGGTGCTGAACATTGTTCAATCATTAGCGAACATCCCCACTTCTGACCTCATGATGGAGGGAAGGTCATTGATGAAGCAGCTGAAGATGGTTGGGCCTAGGACACCACCCTGGGGAACTCCTGCAGAGATGTCCTGGACCTGAGATGACTGACCTCCAACAACCACAACCATCTTCATATGTGCCAGGTATGACACCAACCAGTGGAGTCTTCCCCCGCACCCTGGATTCCCATTCACTCTAGTTTTGCTCAGCATCCTTGAGGCCTATGTTGAGTCAAATGAGACTTTGACATCAAGGGCTGTCACTCAGCACAGCTCTGGAGTTCAGCCCTTTTGTCTATGTTTGGTCAGAGGCCATAATGACGTCAAGAGCTGAGAGGCTCTGGTGGAAACCCAACTGAGCACATTACTCCTATTGACAAGACCTTCCATCACGTTGCTGATGGCTGAGCGCACACTGTAGGGGCAATAATTAAGTCAGGCAGAATCTGTTTGATGCACAGGACATACCTGGGCTATTTTCCACATTGTCAGTCAGATGCCAATATTGTAGCTGTAGCAGAACAGTTTGGCCAGAGTAGGGGACGCAGTCACTTCTGGAGCGCAAGTCCTCAGCGCGATGGCCAGTATGTTTTCACTTCACACAGTCTCTGCAGGATCCAGCGTCTTCGGCTGTTTCTTCATACCACGTGCGAGTGAATCAAATTGGCTGAAGGCCGTCACCAGCGATAATGAGGGGTGAGGGTGGGCGCTCAGGCGGAGAACGAGATGATCATCCACTTCCAGTTGGGAGACAGATGCAAATACCTCACCCTTGTCCCTGACAAAGTGCTGGTTCACTTGACAGACATCAATTCCAGGCCTATTAACGTCAGCGGAATCAGACTCGAGTTGTCAGAATGAGCGTGGCTTCAGTCCTGGATGTGTTTAGCAGCAGCAATGACAACAGCATCCAGCCCCTTCTTGTGAACTTGCTGGTGCCTCAGCAGATGGGTTGAATGAGTGAATCCCTTGCCGCACTCCGAGCAACAGAACGGCCTCTCCCCGGTGTGAATGTGCTGGTGGGTCAGGAGGTGGGACGAGCGGGTGAACCTCTTGCCGCAGTCGGAGCAGGCAAACGGCTTCTCCCCGGTGTGAACCCGCTGGTGCCGCAGCAAGTCGCTCGTGGTTTTGAAGCTCTTCTCGCACTCGGAGCACTGAAAGGGCCTCTTATCCGAGTGGACCAGCTGGTGGGAAGTGAGGCTGGTCAAATAAATGAAGGATTTGCTGCACAAGGGGCAGGTGAACGGCCTCTCCCCTGTGTGAGAGCGCTGGTGTTTCTGCAGGCTGGATAACAGAGTGAATCCCTTCCCGCACACGGAGCATCGGAAAGGCCTCTCCTCGTTGTGAACGCGCTGGTGTATCAGCAGGTCGCTCGTGGTCTTGTAACTCTTCTCGCACTCGGAGCACTTGAAAGGTCTCTTGTCTGTGTGCACGAGCCGGTGGGTGGCGAGGTGGGAAGATCGCGTGAATCCCTTCCCGCACACCGAGCAGATGAACGGCCTCTCCCCAGTGTGCGTGCGCTCGTGTTCGACGAGGTTCTGCGACCGCTTGAACACCTTCCCGCAGTGGGAGCAACAGAACTGACTCTCGGCCTGAGGGGCCTGGTGCTTCAGCAGGTCGTCTGAGCCTTTGAGGTTGTTCTCACAGTCTGGGCCATCCAGCAGCCTCTCTTCGGCGTGAACTCGCTGATGGGTCAGCAAGTGGGACGACTGAGTGAACCCCTTCCCGCACAAGGAACAGGTGAACGGCCTCTCCCCGGTGTGACTGCGCCGGTGAATTTCCAGCAAGGATGGGTAATTGAATCCTTTCCCGCAGTCCCCACATTTCCACGGCTTCTCCATGGTTCTCTCCAGCTGGGGGTCAGCAGTTGAAACCTTGTCCAGATCGCAGGTACAGTTTCTCCCCACTGTGAACGGTGCAATAGTTTTTCACTGCAGTGGAATGCCCTCACTCTGGTGCGAGTGGCTGTGTCTAGCCTGTTACACCGGTATTGAAAATATTTTCCCGCAGACAAATGTTTCTCCATCCACATTGACAGGTCGATAAGATTCAGGCTCTGACTCTGTTAGATCTTAATCTGGTTTTGTTTCAGTTTACAGTTCAAAGTCAGCTCCTTCTAAACCTGCAAAAGAAGATCAAAGTGTCAATGTCACTGTCAGCACAGGTTAGAAATTCAGGATGGATAATCACAGAATCCCTACAATGTGGAAGCAGCCCGTTTAGCCCATTAAGTTCACATGGACCCTCCAAACAACATCCCACCCCGACCCACCCCACTACCCTATCCATGTAACCCTGCATTTCCCATGGCTAACTCACCTAGCCTGCACATCCATGGACACTATGAGCATTTTAGCATGGCCATTCCAGCCTAACCTGTGCATCTTTGGACCGTGGGAGGAAACCGGAGTACCCGGAGGAAATGCACGCAGATACAGGCAAAATGTGCAAACTTTGCACAGACAGTTGCCCAAGGTTGGAATCGAACCCAGGTTCCTGGAGCCATGAGGGAGCAGTGCTAACCAATGAGCCACTGTGCCAATAATCCCAGTTTCTGCAGAACATATTTTTCTTCTCTCGTTTCCCAAATGCATGAACCAATCAAATTCATGGAAGCTTAAACAAGGCTCTAAGAATAGCAAAAGGAACCTTCCCAACTAAATGAGAACATGGTTACATAAGGACATAAGAAATAGGAGCAGGAATAGGCTTTCTGGTCCCTTGAGCCTGCTCCGCTATTCAATAAGATCGTGGCTGATCTTTGTCATGGACTCAGCTCCACTTACCCCCACCCCTGCTCACCATAATGCTTAATTCCTTTACTGTTCAAAAATCTGTCTATCTTTGCCTTAAAAACATTCAACAAGGTAACCCATGGGTTACCCTCAACTGCGTCACTGGGCAGGGAATTCCACAGATCCACAACCCTTTGGGCGAAGAAGTTCCTCCTCAGCTCAGTCCTAAATCTGCTCCCCCTTATTTTGAGGCTATGCCCCCCTAGTTCTAGATTCAACCACCAGTGGAAACAATCTCCCTGCTTGTATCTTATTGATTCCCTTCACAATTTTATATGTTTCTATAAGAATCTACCCCCCGCCAATTTCTTCTAAACTCCAATGAGTATAGTCCCAGTCTACTCAATCTCTCCTCATTAGCCAGACCTCTAAACTATGGAATCAACCTAGTGAACTTGCTCCAGTGCCAGGACATCCTTTCTCAAGTAAGGAGACCAGTGTGTACAATACATTCTACAATGGGGCTATAGAGTAACAAGCAGATATTGCATTTCCCTTGCCAGGGACATCCAGGCTTCAGCAAGACAACTGAAGAGAGTCTGGCAGCCTCATATGGACGGTCAGTGTGGGATCTGGAATTAAGGGCGCAATCAAATCCTATTTCTTGGGTTCAGCCACAGTGACACACCTCAGGCCACATTCCCAACATCCACCCTGATATTCCCTTGCTCATCCATGTCCTAGAAATTAGTGTCTTAGTGACAGCTAAAAGAGGATCCCTCCAGCCACACAGCCTTCCTCCTTGCCCACATCAAAGAGCCAAAGATTAGGTGTAACCTTTCCCAGCAGTGGCTGAGGACACCATGTGGGACTCTCCCCTCACCTGCGGTATGGTGACCCTCAAGGTTAAACTCACCATCAGTTGTCACAGGGTCGTAAGCATGGAAATAGACCCTTTGGTCTGACCAGTCCATGCCAACATACTCCCAAATTAAACAAGTCCCATCTGCCTACTCCTGGTCAAATCCGTACAAACGTGTCCTATTCATATACTTCTCAAAAAATGTCTTTTAAACGTTGTAATTTGTCTCATTCTCTCTCGAATGACAGAGCAGCCCTGTGACCTTGTACACAAAAGTGGAGGAGCAGCCTCAAGAGGAATGCGGTCTGTCGCGATGAATATATTATACAGATGCCCCATGAATCGTCTAGGAAGCAAACACAACCTCTCGCCTGAGACTGCTTTTGAGCGGCTCGGGCGCTAGGACCCGTTAGCGCAACCAGACTCGCTAAAATCCCCACCCCCCCATTACGTCACCCGGGCCTTCACGCATGCGCACTGCTCCCCTCGGATCCAAGATGGCGGCCGTTCGGCAGGAGGTGATCCCGGGAAAAGGCCCCGGAGTCACTAACGCGGGACTCGCAGGTCGTCAATCGAGGTTCGAAGGGTTTAGTAAGTGTTTAAAAACCATTCCGGTCTGCGCTCCGGCCCCTTCGCTCCCTCCGCGGTCCCGCATCCTCACCCCCTGCAGATGAGAAAAAAAAGCGTCTCTGCCCGTGGTGTTCACTGTCAGTGCGCATGCTCCAGCCACTGGGTAGTACTGCGCCTGCTCACCGCTCTCCTGTGACCTGGATAGGGGACATTCACGGCGCGGGGCATGGTGGGTAAAGACAGTGCCATTGCTCACGGGTGACTTTAAAAAAATGAAAATATGATTTGGCTAGCAAGACGGGCTTGGTGCTCAATAAAATCAGTAACCAAATTATATTGAAATAGCGGCTGTGTAAAGGTCAAGAGTGTCTGGAGTTAGTTTAGCTAATACCTTTGGTCCAAACAGTGCTGGACCAAGGGAGTGGGTACTTTTTACTTTATTACATCATTCATGGGATGAAGTTTTCACTGACCAGCCCAGCACATATTGTGAATGCCTAATAGTTAGGATGGAGAATTTCAAGACTAGGGAGTGCATATTTAAGGTGAGAGGAGAGAGATTTAAAAAAAAAGACATGAGAGGCAAATTTTTTACACAGAGGGTGGTTTGTGTGTGGAATGAACTTCCTGTGGAAGTGGTGGATGTGGGCAAAGTTACAACGTTTGAAAGACATGGGGATAAGTACATGAGTAGAAAAGGTTTAGAGGGATATGGGCCAGGAGCAGACAGGTGGGACGAGTTTATTTTCAGCATGGACTGAAGAGTCTGTTTCCATGCTGTATGACTCTGTGCGTCAGCTATTATTGTTGTAGGATCTTGACTCAAATACAGCCTATACCAGGTCAGGACAGCAATTTCCTTCCCTAAAGGACATTAGTGAACTACATTTTTTTCTGACAATTAACAACAGTTTCATGGTCAGCATTCAACTCTTAGTCACAGGTTTTTTTTTATTATTGAATTCAAATTCCCAACATCTGCCATGCCTGATTCAAACCTAGGTCCCCAGACATTATTTGGTTCTCTGGATCAATAGTCTCATGATGATACCACTAGGCCACAGTGAGCTGGGAATTTACAGCTTTAGTGGGGCTAGAGGAAAAAGATATTTAATGGTAATTTGAATTTTCCATTCTGAATTTCTACCATCTATTCACAGTGATGACATTTCTAAATCTTATCACAAAATACTAAACACGAACCAAACATCAAGCCAAGATCTTGTAGAATCATTCAATCCATCAGGACCTGAATATCGTCGGCTTTTGAACATGGAAGGAGAACTATTTGTCTTCTCTGTGGGAGTGTTTCAAACATCAGTATGACTGGAAAAGCGACAAGACTTGCACACTCAAGTGAGAGTGTTTCAGTGCACTGATTACAGAAATAGCTTTAACCAGTTACCCAGCCTGAAACATATATCACACCATTCACAGCGAAGAGACGTATCACGTGTGTGTGGACGAGGAGTCAACTGATCACCCAGCATTGAGAGACAGAAGGGTATCCATGTCATGGAGAAACCATGGAAATGTGGGGACTGTGGTAAGGGATTCAGAACGCCATCTGAGCTGGAAATTCATCGGCGCAGTCACACTGGAGAAAAACCATTCACCTGCTTCGAGTGTGGGAAGGGATTCTCACGTCTATCTCAACTCACTGAACACCAGCGAGTTCACACTGGGGAGAAGCCATTCACCTGCGCAGGTTGTGGGAAGGGATTCACTTGTTTAAGTAACCTCACTTCACATCAATTTGTTCACACTGATACGAGGCTTTATAAATGTTCTGACTGTGAGAAGAGCTTCAAAAGCACAAGGGATCTACTGAGACACCAGTATGTCCACTCAAGTCAGAGGCCATTCTCCTGTTCTGTCTGTGGGAAGGGGTTCACTCGGTCATCCAGCCTGCTGAGACACCAGCGAGTTCACACTGAGGAGCGGCCATTTCCTTGCATGAAGTGTGGGAAAAGGTTCACCCGGTCCTGTACTCTGCACAGACACCAACAAATTCACACAGTGGAGAACCCATTCATCTGCCCAGAGTGTGGGAAGGGGTTCACTCAGTTGTTCCAACTGCTGCGACACCAGCGAATTCACACAGCCGAGAGGCCGTTTGTCTGTTTGGAATGTGGGAAGGGATTCATTCAGTCGTTTGAGCTGCTAAGACACCGACGAAGTCACACTGGGGAGAGGCCATTTATCTGCTCTCAGTGTGGGAAGGGGTTCACTCAGTCCTCCCATCTGCTGAGACACCAGCAAGTTCATGAGTGATTGCTCCTATTAATGACATTCAAGACTGGTGTATGGGCTTTGTTCCTACTAAAGTTAATAACCCCTATAACTGGACTGGAATTTACTAGTTTGCTGTGTATTAAGTATAACAACCATTTCCAACTTCTATGCTGTGTATTTGAGTAGAGAAACTGACGTCCTTGCTGTAATATCACATTAATGGAACATGGAAATAAGTAAGTCACATTCCTGGGAGGGCGCTGAATCTGTCTGAACATGTTTTAATTCACCAGCTGTAGTCAGGGCAGAGAGCCATATAGGACAGGTGCAGTTGAGATCCAAGGAGTTGAAGGACTTGGGTGACACAATGGCTCAGTGGTTAGCACTGCTGCCTCACAGTGCCAAGGACCTGGGTTTGATTCCAGCCTAGGACGACTGTATGTGTGGAGTTTGCACGTTCTTCCCGTGTCTGCGAGGGCTTCCTCCGGGTGCTCCTGTTTCCTCCCACAGTCCAAAGATGTGCAGACTGGGTGCATTGGCCGTGCTAAATTGCCCGTAGGGTCCAGGGACAGTTAAGTGGATTAGCCACAGGAAACGCAGGGTTGCAGGAATGGGTAGGGGGTTGAGACTGGGTGTGATGCTATTCAGAGAATCGGTGTGGACTTGTTGGGCCAAATGGCCTGTTTCCACAATGTAGGGATTCTGTGATTCTATGACTCAGGAGGGAGGCATCAGATGAGGAAGTGGAACCGAGCTGGCCAGGTGAGACAGTGGGAGGAGAAAAAGCCAATAAAAAAGTGCAAATAGGTCAGACTCCTCAGGAGCCACTAGCAGATACGAGTTTAGGTAGATGCAGTGTAGAAGCCTCTTCAGCCCTGCCTTTGTGTCAGAGGGGCCAGGTTCAAGTCGAGAAACAGTTTTATTCAGGTGAAGGCATATAACCTGACACAATGAATGAGTCACTTCTCCTGTCTAATCCCACTGCTGCCTAACACTGTATAGATATTCGAGATGAACACAAGTAGCTGCTGCCTTACAGTATTACAGCCTGCAGCAGCAAGTGAGAGTAAATAGATACCATCAGTTGGTGGGAACGAACTGGGTCGTGTTGTGGAACAGAGAGACCCAGGGGTTCAGGTACATAATTCTTTAACGTTTGTGTCACATATAGATAAGGTGGTTAAGAAGGCATTTAGCACGCTTGCCTTCATTGCTCACACCTTTGTGTTGAGGATATTGGTGAGGCCTCTTCAGGGCACTGTGTCCAGTTCTGGTCTCCCTGTTACAGGAAGGATATTATTAAGCTGGAGAGGGTTCAGAAGAGATTTACCAGAATGTTGCCAGGTATGGAGGGTTTGAGTTATAGGGAGAGGCTGGATAGGCTGGGACGTTTTTCACTAGAGTATAGGTAGTGTATGACAAGAGCCATATCCCGAGGGTGGAGGATTTCAAGACTAGGGACATATTTTTAAGGTGAGAGGAGAAAAAATTTAAAAAAGACATGAAGGGCAATTTTTTAACACAGAGAGTGATCTGTGTGTGGATTGAACTTCTGCAGGAAGCGGTGGATACAGGTACAGTTACAACGTTTAAAAGACATTTTGGTAAGTACATGAATAAGAAACGTTTGGAGTGCTATGGGCACTGTGCATGCAGGTGGGACTAGTTTAGTTAGGGATTATGGTCGGAATGGACGGAAGGGTCTGTTTCCCTGCTGTATGACTATAACTGGGGATCAAACGGACAGATACATCCGTGGGTCAGGATCACCTGCCAAATTTTGGTTATTGCTCAGCTGGCATCGGCCATATACCCGAACTCCCTTCCTAACAGTATTGTAGGTGATCCGACGCCAACAAGGACTGATGATGTTCATGAATATAGCTCACCACTACCTTCTCGAGGGCAATTAAGGATAAGCAATAAATGCAACATTTCAAAATAGATAGGATGCTACTTCACTGGGGCTGAGTATCTGCAAAGGATATCGCTGGGAAAATGGCTTAAATTGCATTTTATGTTGAAATTGTTATTGGAACAGTTGCTGTTTAGTAGTGAAATAATCCGTTATTCTGTTACGTTTTCCAATAGTTTTGGGTTATCCCAAATTCTTCTTTGTTTTGTTGTATTTTAACTACAGTGTATGAATAAAGTGTCTTTTGCTTCAAGCCTGGTAGTTTGACCAATCAAATTGCATCCAGAATGTAATGCCTGGCACTTACCTTTAAAATACGAAAAAGTTCGGGTCCAGGCTATCTTCTTAATGTATTTTGAGGGGGTTTTGTCTGGTCTATAACACATGGAACAATTGTGAGGACCTCATGGAATTTGCCATAAAGATTATGTGAGACCATCTGATCAGTTGCCTCTACCATGTCCCTCCCTTACCATGAATCAGGAGGGCACTTTTCCCCCAAAGTTCTTTTTTAAAACCTCCTCTCGTATCCTCGTCTGGTTTCTGTTCTTGTCATAACCTGTCAGAGCTCACTTGTCCACGAGGCCTGTTTCTAAATCTCTCAGCCTTACTCCTACAAAACTGCTGACCTCCCCATGTTCACGGACATTGTTTGCTGTTTTCTTTTTCTCTCTCTCCATTTTCAAATTCACCGTCTTCATCCATCCTGTGAGAAAAAAACAACCTCTTAACCCGACCGTTACACAAACTACTGCCCCCTCTCTAATCTTTCTTTCTTCTGCAAAGTCCTTGAACTTTGTGACCATGTCCCCTCCAATTCAGAGTTATGGAGATGTACAATACAGATAAAGGCCATTCAGTCCATCATGTCTGCACCAGTCAAAAGCAAGTACCTAATTATTCTATTCCATTTTCCAGCACTTAGCCCATAGCCTTCAATACCTTGGTATCACACTGGAGACACTTTCTCTTTACTTCTCAAAATCACTCATGATTTTGTTAATCTTCTATGTTCCTTCTCTAAATCCTCCTGCCAAGCTATGATGCCCAGAATTGCTGTAGGAAAGATGTTGTTAAACTTGAAAGGATGCAGAAAAGATTTACAAGGATGTTGCCAGGACTGGAGGGTTTGAACCATAGGGAGAGGCTGAATAGGCTGGGGCTATTTCCCTGGTGTGTCAGGAGCTGATGGGTGACCTTTATAGAGGTTTATAAAATCATGAGGGGCACGGATAGGATAAACAAGCAAGGTCTTCTCCCCAGGATAGGGGAGTCCAAAACTGGAGGTTTAAAGTGGTAGGGGAAAGATATAAAAGGGACCTAAGAGGCAGCTTTTTCACACAGAGGGTGGTGGTGCGTGTATGGAATGAGCTGGCAAAGGAAGTGGTGGAGGCTGGTACAATTACAACATTTAAAAGGCATCTGGATGGGTACTTGACTAGGAAGGGTTTAAAGGGATATGGGTCAAATTCTGGGAAATAGAACTAGATTAATTTGGGATAAGTGGTCGGCACGGATAAGTTGGACTGAAGGGTCTGTTTCCCTGCTGTACAACTCTATGACTCTAAATATAACACTGCTGCAATTCTACTAGACCATTCAGAATCTGGAGCTCAAATGGCTATTGGATGATTATACCAGCAGTTCTCATCCTCCTGTAAACATTTTGTGTGATATTTTAATGCCAAATCTTTATTTTAAAAAATTAAATATCTGTATTATCTGTTTTCGTGCTGCTTGACACTATGAATCTATTAGATGTGCAAACGGTGGACTTCTCATTCTTGTGCTACCATGAGACATTAACCAATGGTACCACGTTGGTTTGTACATGTGCACTGACAACCATCCAGCCCATCTCTTCAGATCTAACAGTAACTTTCTTCACCCATTCTGAGAGAAAAAAAACCTCTCAACCCCACCATTACACAAACTACTGTCCCCTCTCTAATCTTCCTTGGACTGTTCCCAAAATAGGGAAAGATTTTCACTACAAAGCAGAAGCAGCAAGGGAGAGGGATGGATTGCAATATTTTCAGAGACAGTATCGGCACATTATTCCGAGTGGCCACCTCATGATCTCTGAGGCTGTAATACAGGTTTATGATGAATTATTAAACAACGTATTATAGAATCTTGTAGTGTGTCACAAACAAAGGCTGTTCGGTCCATCACGTCTGCACTGGCCCCCATCAGAAAGCAATCCATTGAATTCCACTCCCTCGCTGTTCCCACATCACCTTGGACAGGCCTTCGGCTGGTCTCCTGGCCACTGAGACAGCGGGAAGAAACCATGGACATCTTCTGGAGTAGTGTGTGCAGTTCTGGTCACCCTGTTGTAGGAAGGATGTTATTGAGCTGGAAAGAGTTCAGGAGAGATTTACCAGGATGTTGCCGGGAATGGAGGGTTTGAGTTATAAGGAGAGGCTGGCTAGGCTGAGAATTTTCTCACTGGAGCATGGGAGGTTGAGAGTTGACCTTCGAGAGGTTTATAAAATCATGAGAAGCTTAGATAGGGTGAATGGTAGGTGTCTTTTCCCTAGGATGGGGGATTTCAAGACTAAGGGGCTTATTTTTAAGGTGAGAGAAGAGAGATTTAAAAAAGACGAGGGGGAAGTTTTTTAACACAGAGGGTGGTTCGCGAGTGGAATCAACTTCCTGAGGAAGTGGTGTACGTGGACACAGTTACATTGTTTAAGAGACATTTAGATAAGTACATGATTAGGAAAGGTTTGGAGGGATATGGTCCAGGAGCAGGTAGGTGGGACTGGTTTAGTTTGGGATTATGGTCGGCGTGGACTGGTTGGACCGAAGGGTCTGTTTCTGTGCAGTATGACTCTAAGTACTTGTGTCTAAAATTAAACCCTTTATATTGTGTGGACAGTATGTGATTAGCAAACTGAGCACCCCTTTGATGTTTGCGGATTGGAAATACCCTGAGCCTGACTGGATCACAAATGACTCAGGATAAACCCAGTAATTCCTCCTGCATCTGGACTGGCTGGACCAAAGGGTCTGTTTCTGTGCTTGATAACTGTATGAGGTAAGTGTAGGAAGAGATTTGCTTCCCCGTCTGAGCCAGAAAGTCAACCCCACATAGTCAGCAGGGAGAAACCATACACCTTCTCCGTGTGGGGTAAGGGAGTCACTTGGCCATCCAGCCTCCAAATGCACCAACATGTTCAAAATGGACAGACAGGATGTAACAGGGACAGTGATGAGAGCTTTTAAATACCTGTTCACATCTTACAATCACAGGAACTGTCGCAGCTCCCCATATGATGGTTTGAGAGGCAGAGGTTTGGCTTAGTGAGCTCCCAGTCAGCAATGGTTGCTGTGGAGCTCAGACTGATGCCTGATGGCTGCAAGATCTCTTTAAGTCCTTGCAATTTCCTGTCAATGGGCACAGCCTAAGCATTGCATTGTCTGGATGCTGCTGTAAAAATGGCAGTATTTGTATCTTTTTGTAGAGTCGTTTTCTTTAATAGTAAGCATCAGTGTATTCATAAACGCTATTCAGTTATATTAATAATTACAAGATCATAAAATGTAGGAGCAGAAGTAGGCCATTCAGCCCATCCAGTCTGCTCCACTATTCAATGAGATCGTGGCAGGTCTGATCATTTTCAACTCCACTTTCCTGCCTTTTCCCCATAACCCTTGATTCCCTTCCTGATTAAAAATCTCTCTCAGCCATGAATATACTTAATGACCCAGCCATGACTGCCCTCTGCGGTAAAGAATTCCACAGATTCCCTCCCCTCAGGGAAGAAATTCGTCCTCATCTCTGTCTAAAATGGTCAACCCCTCACTGAGATGATGCCCTTTGTCCTGGACTCTCCCACAAGGGGAAAGAAGCCTTTTGCAACTCTCCTATCAAATCCCTTAACCCTATGTTTCAATAAGGTTGCCTCTCATTCTCCTAAACTCCAATGAGTACAGGCCCAAGCTACACAACCTCGCCAATCCCAATACGTCTTTCCTCTGATAAGGCAGACCAAAACTGTTCACAGACTTCCCTATTTTTATACTCCATTTCATTTATCTTCCCTGATACCCACTGAACATCGATACTTGCAGTTTCTGATTCATGCGCAAGGACCTGCAAATCCCTCTATGTTGCAGCTTTCTCCACCCTCTATTTAAATAATATTCCGCTCCTCTTCTTGCCAAAGTGCATGACCTGAAATTTCTTCCAACAGCCACTCTCTCAGGACTCTTGGGTTAATCCTGGCTAACTCTATTGTGTCATCATTAAGGAGGATTCTGTTATATCAATGCTCAGAGACCAATCATATTAATAATGAGCTTCCTGTTATGTACATAATCAGAGTCCTATCACTTTAGTATTTAGGAGACTATCACATGAATAAATAAGGCACTAATAATCTGGTGCCTTAAGCATCAATAACTAGCATCTTAGTGGATGAAACAGTGTCCTGTTGCATTAATTAGAGATTCTATGACCTTAATAACCCAGGTCTAATTATTTCCAAAGTTCCCACTGCATTTATAATCGGTTGCCTCTTCCTTCAATTAGCAGAAAATTGTTTCACCATTAATCATGATGTGAATACACCAAATAAGCAACTCACTTCAATTAATAATCATAGCCCATTGGTATCAACAATTGGGATCCTGCTACATTAGGGTCATTTGCCACTTGTACAAGTTTCTAAGTGCTGTTGCTTTAATGATCAGAGTCCAAACACATTGCCTTTAAATGCACTTATTACCCATCGTTCACTGTCGCATGTCCCTGTTCTACATCCCAAAGAGGAGCCATCATCATGTGCACTATTATGAGTCAATGTGGGTTGTTGTTAGCATCTGTTTCTCTCCATTCTTAGAATCCATACAGTGTGGAAGCAGACCATTGAGTCCACACTGACTCATCCCATCCCTGTAACCCTGCATTTCCCAAGGCTAATCCATTAAACCTGCACATCCCTGGACACTATGAGGCAATTTAGCATGGCCAATCCACCCTAACCTGTACGTTTGGACTGTGGGAGGAAACCCAAACATACACCGGGAGAGAACGTGCAAACTCCACGTAGACAATCTCCCCAGGCTGGAATCAAACCCGGGGTCTGTGGTGGCGTGAGGCAGCAGTGCTAACCACCGTGCCACCATGACGTAAACACGCACAAGTTTCAATTTGGCTCAGCCCCTTCAAGGCGACAGCCTGCAGTATATCACGTGCGACTCTGGTAGCGGTGGGATGCGAACCCAGGGCTCAACAGAGACTGGAACTTAAATCCAGCGCCTTAGACCGCTCTATTACAACTCAAGCAATAGTCTGCACACTGAATCCTTTCACAAAAATTAATCTCTTTCAAGCCGGAATCGAACCAGTGACCTACAGATGCTTTGGTGAACTCTACAGTCCTCCACTCTACCAGCTGAGCTATCAAAGGAGAACTTCAATAAACTGGGAGACAGCTGTCTCATGACAGTCAGGTTTACCCGTGGTCAGTGAAAACTCTACTGTCTGCCAATTCCTGTGGCAGGGTGGATGGGGTAATCGCGGCAGTGGTAGGTTCAAGAACACCCTCAATACCATCATACACAGCATGTAGCCTTCTGTTGTCACAGACAGATTGGATTTCTTGGCCTGTATTGATCCGGATCCAGGAAGTCTTTGTTCATGGTTCCACCTCCACCAAATGCTCCTGCTGCTTCAGAAATGACCGAGCTCAGCAACTTCGAAACTTCATTGATATCACTGCTGATTGACAACGCTTTGAATCAATGTGCCTGAAAAACACTTCACCGATTCCATTCCATTTTCCTTGATCATTTCATTTCAAAGTGGAAGTGTCACAGCAGAGAATTTGAGAGTCAGTAAGAAATGGCAGCAAGGAAACTTTCTCATTGGAGATAGCGCCTTTCAGGTACTGACGTTTCCATTCGATTTGATTTATTATTGTCACATGTACCTAGGTATAATGAAAAGTTTTGTTTTGTGTGTAGTACAGGCAGATCGTACCGTACAAACATCATCGGGTGATAGAACAGGGTGATGTATACAATGCTACAGCTGCAGAGAAGATGCACAAAGAGTCAGATCGACATTAAATTTGAAATTTGAGAGGTCCATTCAGAAGTCTAATAACAGCAGGGAAGAAGCTGTTCTTGAACCTGTTGGTACATGTGTTTAAGCTTTTGTATCTTCTGCCTCAGGGAAGAGATTGGAAGAGATTATAACCAGGGTGGTGGCGGGGGGTCTTTGATGATGTTGGCTGTCTTTCCGTGGCAACAGGAAGTATAGATGGAGTCAATGGATGGAAGGTTGGCTTACGTGATGGACTGGGCTGTGTTCACAACTCTTTCTAGTTTGTTATGTCCTGGGCAGAGCAGCTGCCCTACCAAGCTATGATGCATCCAGATAGAATGCTTTCTATGGTGCATCGATAAAAATTGGTGAGGGTCCTTATGGATGTGCTGTCTCCTGAGGAAGAAGAGGTGTTGTTGTGTCTCCTTGACAGTCGCATCAGCGTGGGTGGTCCAGGAGAGTTTTTTTGGTGATCATTGATTGTAGATTTTGCAGCAAAGATCCACTCAGGATTTAAAAGTTGTGGCAACTGAATAACTCTTGAGAGCTCTTGAATCAACAGGGAAGATTACAGATGGCAAAATGAACAATACAGCTCTGAACTTCAGTGACACCACCCAGAACGTTCAACTGAGACTGGTTACAGTGCTGTTAATATCAGCTGAAACACACCCATAACTAACAGCGCAATTCAGAGTCCACAGTCACTTATGAACTTGCCGGTCTCGCAAGAGGCTGGATAACCAAGGGAATCCCTTCCCGCACACGGTGCAAGTGAACGGCCTCTCCCCGGTGTGGACTCGCTGGTGTGCTTTGAGGTTGCCTGAATGTTTGAAGCTCTTCCCGCAGGAGGCGCAGCTGAATGGCTTCTCGTGAGAGTGTGGATTCGCTGGTGTATCAGGCAGTGGGACGACTGGGTGAACCGCTTCCCGCAGATGGAGCAGGCGAACGGCTTCTCCCCGGTGTGAACCCGGCGGTGCGTGGTCATTTCGGACGCGGACTTGAAGCCTTTTCCCGCAGTGGGCACAGCTGAACGACTTCTCCTCCGTGTGGGTGCGCCGGTGCGACATCAGGTTGGCCGACTGAGCGAAGCGTTTCCCGCACTCGGGGCAGGTGAACGGCCTCTCGCCGGTGTGGACCCGCCAGTGCTTCAGCAGGTGCGACGACACGGTGAAGCCCTTCCCGCACTCGGAGCAGGTGAACGGCCTCTCCCTGGTGTGAGCCCGCTGGTGCTCCGTGAGGTGGTATGACTGCCTGAACCTCTTCCCACAGGAGGGGCAGCGGAAGGGCCTCTCCTCCGTGTGGGTCCGCTGGTGCGACATCAGGCAGGCCGACTGAGTGAACGCCTTCCCGCACTCCGAACAGACGAACGGCTTCTCCCCCATGTGACTGCGGTGATGGGTTTCCAGCAGGTGACGATAATTAAATCACTTCCCGCAGTCCTCGCACTTCCACGGCCTCTCCCCAGTGTGAGTCCGACGGTGAAACTCCAGCCGAGAAGGGTAATTGAATCCCTTCCCACAGTCCGCACACTTCCACGGTTTCACCGTGGACCTGGTGTCTTCATGTCTCTCCAGTTTGAAGCCTTTTGCGCGCACACTTTGAATGGTGTGATGTTTTTTTCAGGCTGTGTAACTGGGTAAAGCACCCTCCACAGTCTCTACTACATTGGAACACTCTCAGACACTTCTGTGTGTGTGTGTCACTATTTTTCCAGCCACATTGATGCTTGAAATACCTTCCCAAAGTCAGAACAGAGACAGATGCACTTTCCCTTCCATCTTCAAAGGCTGATGATATTCAAGTCCTGATGTAGCAAGTGACTTGGTGGGTTGTTTGGTTGGAGCTTCCTAAATGTAACCTCTCCCCTTTGAAGTCCCTGTAGAGGGATATTACAGAAATCATCACAGTCAGTTCAAGTTAGTGATTTATCAACTAATCTAATTCTTACAGACATTTATTTCCCCTCTTACTCTCCCAAAGCTGTAAAACTCTATCACACAAAATCTCTTTGTTCCCAGTACTTGGGCTGAATTTTTGATTTGATTTATTAATGTCACATGTACCTAGATACAGTGAAAAGTTTTGTTTTGCATGCAGTACAGGCAGATCATATCACACGAAGCGCATTGGGGGATAGAACAGAGTGAGGAAGACAATGTTATGGCTGCAAAGAAACAGCGAGATCGACATTAAATTTAAAACCATTTGAGAAGTCTATTCAGAAGTCAGGGAAGAAGCTGTTCTTGAATCTGTTGGTGCGTCTGTTTAAGCTTAATCTCCTCTGTGCTACATTGACACGTTTGTAAAATATCTCTTTCTATTTCAGTACTTGCAGTTGGGAGATCACTCAGCTAAATCTGTTCACTCCCTCTAAAGGAACATTTACTGATGCTTACTGCCCAGAACTGAACACAGTTCACCAGGTGTGACCTAATCAAGTTTGTGAATCACAATGCTTTTCCATTCAAACTGATACTTGAAATCCTCATCCACAGCAGAACAGACAAACCTTTTGTTTGGTTGACGACATTCAGATCCTGAAGAAATGAGTGACCCGGTCATATCTCGATGTGGTGTTTGATTTCAGCTTCCCGTCTGTCAATCCTCAGGTTCTAGTCTGCTGTAAGATTGCAGAAAACATTAGGTTAGAAATTCAAAAGAGACATACACTTTTCCTGGTGTGATTTTGCAAATTCTCTGCTCCTGCAACACCAGTCCCCCCCACCGCCCACCATTGTAAAAGGAGTTTAACAATACTTAAGACTTCTGCTCCAGAACATGTCACAGCCCTAGCTAAGTTGTTCCAGTCTAGCTAAAACACTGGCACCTACCTGACTATGTAAAAAATTGCCAAAATATGTCCTGTACACAAAAAGCAGGACAAACTGAACCAAACCAATTACTGCCCCATTAGTCTACTCAGCACCATCAGGAAAGTGACGGAAGGTGTCATCAACAGTGCAGCAATCTTGCACAGCAATGACCTGCTCAGTTGTGTCCAATTTGCATTCCACCAAGGCCACCCAATTCCTGACCTCATTACAACCTTGGTTCATACAGGGACAAAACAGCTGAATTCCAGAGGTGAGGTGAGAATGACTTAGTGTAGCGTCAAGGATCCCTGGCAAAACTGGGGAATTGAAGGGGGGGTGGGGAAGTGGGAAGTACTTTGCTGGTGGGAGTCATACCTGACACAAGTTAAGTTGGTTGTGGTTGTTGGAGATCAGTCATCTCAGCTCATTGCCTCTAACAATGGTGGAGGCAGAAACCCTCATCACATTTAAGAAGTGTACTAGCAATGGGATAGCATACAAGGCTGTGGGCCAAGTGCAGGAAAACGGAAATAAGATAGTTCCTTGTTTTTGATCAGTGCAGACTCAATGGGCTGAAGGGCCTTCTTTCTTGTGCTGTATCACTCCATGACCATCCAGGAAAAACAGCTTGTTTGATTAGCACCGCATCCACATGCATCCACTCCCTCCACCACTGACGCTCTGTGGCAGCAATATACACTATCTAGAATCACAGAATCTCTACAGTGCAGGTAGAGGCCCACAGAGTCTGCACCGACCCTCTGGAGACATCCCACCCAGACCCACACCCTATCCCCACAACCCTGCATTGCCTAGTCTACCTAGCCTGCACATCCCTATACACTGGGGGAGAATGTGTAAACTCCGCACTGACAGTTGCCCAAGGCTGGAATCGAACCTGGGTCCCTGAAGCTGTGAGGCAGCAGTGCTAACAAGATGCAGTTCAGAAATTCACTGAAGGTCTTTAGACAGCATCTTCCAAACCCATGACCGCTTGCATTTAGGAGGACCAGGGTCAGCAGAAGGTACATGGGAACACCAGCCCCTGCAAGTTCCCTTCCGAGGCGCTCACCAACTTGGAAATTTGTATCGGCTGTTGCTTCAGTGTGGCTGGGTCAAAATCTTGGAGTTCCCTCCCTAACAGCAGAGTGGGTCTATGTACAGTACATGGACTGCTTTGGTTCAAGAAAGCAGCTCACCTCCACCACCTTCTCAAGGGGTGCAAATAGGGACAACCATTCTCCTACCGGTGAAACTGAAGAAATAAGCCCCAGCCCTCGTGAGACCAAAATTTGACATTCCCAGCTCTGGACCAATGGAGCTGTCTGCGCATGCGCCCAGCACAACAAAGATGGCAGCCATCAGCCTGGGGACCGCCGCCGCTCAGATTCCGCAGGAGCCGCCATCATGTTCACCACCCCCCCACCCCCCCCCCCCCCCACCTACCTCGGTGCGACTGTGGCGCACACCAGGTCTTTATAAAGCCTCCCTGCCCACTCGTCGCCCTCTTTTAACCCGCGTTCCGCCTCTGGCTCCGTCGCCCTCGCCATCTACTCAGCAGCTCCCGACAAGTCCAGCACCGCGCATGCTCTGGGCTGCAGCAGCAGCGCACCGCGCATGTGCACAGATCCCCAGGTTGGGGAGGGTCAAGCTCTCATGGTCTCTTACACCACGTTCAACGCAATGCTTTGGGTGTCATCCCATGCTTGTTGGCCAGGGCAAAACATTACTCAGCCCAATTGACACAGCGACGGAAATGCGCTTCCCTCTGCTTAATTTTTTTTTTTGGCAAGCAGAAGAAACCTTTGCAGGTTAGTATAGAAAATAGGAGCTGGAGTAGGCCATTCAGTCCTTCGAGCCTGCTGCACCATCTAATATGATCATGGAAAACAGATCAGTGATGGATGCACTGTTCAGTGAGGTGAGCGTTGTTCGCAAGGACGCAGAGCTGGGTTCTGCAGTGGTGAGGAGCCAGAATTAGATAATAAAGGACCCAGACTGAGATTAAAGACCTAAAATTGATGTTGTGAAAACTGATAGAGGGGTCCTTTGCCTAATTCTCTGCAAAGGTAATAAAGCAAAGTAAGTAAAAAGTGGGTTAAACTGTAAAAACTAGAGAGACCTAGGGATTCAAGTACAAAATTCTTTGAAGTTTGTGTCACATATAGACAGGGCAGTAAAGAAAGCATTTAGCACACTTGGCTTCATTGCTCAGACCTTGGAGTATAGGACTTGGGACGTCATGTTGAGGTTTTACAGGACATTGGTGAGGCCTCTTCTGGAGTACTGTGTGTACAGTTCTGGTTGCTCTGTTATAGGAAGGATATTATTAAGCTAGAGAGGGAACGGACGGGTTGAGTCAGGAGGAGAGGCTGGATAGGCTGGAACTTTGTTCACTGGAGCGTAGGATGTTGAGAGGTTGTAGAGGTTTCTAAAATCATGAGGGGTATAGATAAGGTGAATGGCATGTGTCTTTTCCTTAGGGTGGGAAATTTCAAGACTAGGGAACATATTTTTAACGTGAGAGGAGAAAAATTAAAAAAAAAAACATGAGGCACAACCTTTTTACATGTTCGTGTGTGGAATGAACTTCCGGAGGAGGTGGTGGATGAGGGTATAGTTACAACGTTTAAAAGATATTTGGATAAGTATATGAATAGGAAATATTTGGAGGGATATGGACCTAGTGCAGGCAGGTGGGACTGGTTTAGTTTGGGATTATGGTCGTCATGGACTGGTTGGACTGAAGGATCTGTTTCTGTGCTGTATAACTCTGTGGAAGACTCATCAAAACCTCTTTCTGTAATTTCCTCGTAAGTCTCTACTTTTACATCAGTTGGTGTATTAAATGTGCAGACTCAGAGAATCTGTTTGGAACTCATTTGTGTACAAGGTGATTGCATAGGCCTTGAATGCCATGATTATGTTTACTAGTCCTCAAACGGGCATTACTGTTGGTATTACATTTGGATTACTGCCACTTGTGCCATCACTTAATTTCCTGAATTTCAAAGATGGAAAGCCTTTAACATGTTGAAGTGTTTTGTTAGAAAATTCAATAACCTAACCAATAAATTTTAGGCACAGGTTCGATTGACACATTATGACCAAAAGACTGGAGCCTGGTCTTCAGGCCAAGAGAATGGAATGAGGAATGAAATCGCTAGGAGTGGGGATAAAAGGGCTATATTCGACAGATTTGGGTAGCTCATAATTTCTAGGGCTGGCAGTGATTACAGAGAAGGGGGAAGAGCAAAGTTGAGGAGGGATTTGAATCACAAAAATGAGAAATTTAAAGGCTGGTGCATCAAAATTTCACTTGCCATTAAAGAGGAAGGATGTTACCCGAACTATTGAAAGGGCAGAAAGGCATAAGATTGTTCATCTAAGTCACAGAAATTGCTGGCACAACTCAGCAGGTCCGGTAGCAACTATGACCCTTCCTCAGAACTGATGGTAGCTAGGAAAAAGTTGCTTTTTATGCAGAAGATAGGGTGGGGGATAGGGGTTAAGGAGTAAACGATAAGTGGAGATAGAGCCCAAAGAGAGATGGAAAAACATTTGGACAGACAAAGGTGTGGATAACAGTCAGCCTAGAAGAATGAATAGCTGCTAATGGAGACTATTAGTGGCTAACAAAGGGTTGTGTCTATTAGCGAACCATACAGTAACATCTAAGTGTTAGAAACAGATGACAGAGAAGTTAAGTTTTGAAGAATGGTTACTGAACTCGAAATGCTAACTCTGCTTTCTGTCCACAAATGCTGCCAGACCTGCTGCTGAGTTTCTCCAGCAATCTCTGCTTGTGTTTCTGATTTCCGGCAATGCAGTTCTTTGTTTTATTGATGGGGAAAGTCAGTGTCTGTGTCTTTAATGGTCATCGACTTGCAATAACAGGGAAATGTTGTTCTTACCCTATCCGTTATTTCTAACTTGTTTCTTTCTGTAACTAACTTCTAACATTTCTTTTTAAAAATTAGAGACTGAATAAGATTCAGTCAGTCACCCCTACTGGGGAATCAACCTTTGAGACAGCAGGGATCAGGACTGGCTACTGATGGGTTACCCTCCCAATAACGCTGCAGAAAGGCAATTAAAGCAAAGAGGGAGTTTAACCCCATGAGCTTGCAACAGGTGCAAAAAAAAAACCCTGGTGAGTTAAAGTTACAATCTGGGGGGAACAACAAAGGGCCAGAGTTGTAAAGCCAAACCCTGAAGCCCTACGTGAGGAGTTGGAAGCTAGACCTTGAGCAGCGAAGTCTGAGAAGGATTGTTCCTGGAGTGGAGAGTACTGTGAGTGCCTGATTGGTAAGGAGCCACGGGGAGACTGCTTGATGCAAAAACAAACAACTATGACTGGAGCAGTAAAGGTCGAATTTTCAATGATGAGCTGTATTGAGTGTGTCCAATGGGTAGGGTACCATGAGGAGTCTTCCCAGAAGAAGGAACCAACCCAACTCAGTAACTCTCTCAAAGTTTTCAGCGTTTTTCTCACCACACTGTTGTAGAGCTGCTCAGAGCGGTTTAGCACATCTAGAGGTCAGAACTGCTAGCCTGAGATTCAAATGCTCTGAGTCCAGCCACGTAGCTCATCACCTTGCTCTTGTTCTATCTTTAACCTAATATCCAACCTCTTCTACCAAGCTTTTGTCTTGTCTGTCAGGTTTCAGTGCTGCCTTGGGTAAAAGGGGGATTTTGGCCTAATAGTCAGAGAAGTTTGTTAGTGGTTTTTTAAAGAGCTTTTATCATTGCCATTCCTAGAATTTTGTAAAGTACTTTTCGTTAGTAATAAATACACGTTCTTGTTTTATTTAAAACCAATGGTGTCAGAAGTCTACATAAGAAGTATATCTCAGGGGCAGTAAATTGATGGACAGATCAGTTGGGAGGAGTGATTGCAATAACTTCACGAAAATTTCATGTTACAGACCCGTGGTTCTCCACCTTGTGTTTGTCCATGTGGTTAATTCGGTGTCCATGAGAATGTATAACTTTTTAAACAATTTATCCACGTTGGTATCCGAGTGTCTGAAAGCAGCTCCAGGAAACCAAAATGCCGAAATAAAACAAAGAACTGTGAATGCTGAAGATATGAAACAAAAATGGAAATTGCTGGAGAAATTCAGAAGGTCTGGCAGCATCTGTGGATGACATTCTGAAGAAGGGTCACTCGATTTGAAACGTTAACTCTGCCTTCTCCCCACAGATGTTGCCAGACCTTCTGCGTTTCTCTAACAGTTTCTGTTTTTGAACCAAAACACTGACAACTGTTGAACAATTCAATGGACGAAAGAAAATGTTTTCCAAGAAATAAATTATTTATTGCGGGTTTCACGCAGGCTGTGCTGATTGGCAGCCTCAGACTCCATACCTCGAACCTCAGGACTGGTTAAAGAACTCAGCAATCTCTTGCTCCCCTCCCCGTCAGGGATTCTTGCACTTAACATGTAACGCATGGAGGACCGGTTACCCAGCATGTCCCGCGCCTGTGAATACGACCTATCCCCAGCGCTCGGGCCGCGCCGCGCAAGCGCAACAATCCCCGGGTCTCCTCCTAAAGAGGCCTGACTGAGCGTGCGCGCCACTGCATCCGGAAGCTGAGTGCAGCTACAGGGCGAGGGAGAGCCGGCTACTGGGGTCAGAGGGGCTGGGATGGCGACGGGGGTGAGTCGACTCCAACCGTGCAATTCGAGGAGGGAGGGTGGAGGAGGACAATAAATCAGAAGTGACCCTTTGATAGGGGTGTAGGGTATCAATAAGGCTCTGATCAGGAAGGTAACCCTGGAAGGTGGGTAGGGAGGATTCACCGACCCAAGCTGGAGGCTGTTTATGGTAAACCTGCAGGTAGGCTTTTGCGGTGCAGTGGTAGTGTCCTTACTCTGGGACGGGGGCGGGAGCCTGGCTTCAAGTCCCACCTGGTCCAGACGTATGCAATAACATTGCGGTACAGTGGCTCAGTGGTCAGTGATGTTGCCTCACGGCGCCAAGGACCTGGGTTTGATTCCACCCTCGGGTGACTGTCTGCGTGGAGTTTGCACATTCTCTCCCAGTGTCTGTGTGGGTTTTCTCCCACAGTCCAAAGATATGCAGGTTAGATGGATTGGCCAGGCTAAATTGTCCGTAGTGGCCAGGGGTGTGTAGGTTAGGTGGATTAGCCATGGGAAGTACGGGTTACAGGAGATAGCTAGGTGGGCGGGATGCTCTTCAGAGGGGCAGTTGGACTTGATGTGTCGATTCGCCTTCTGTTATAACATCTCAGAAAAGACAAAACCTAGAGGCTTTTCTGGAGACGGATAAAATGACCCGTTTCGATTCACTGGGAGTTTTAGGGTCTGTCGAATCAGGAGAGAGAAAGGTTCGATTTTATTCCCACTCTGCACAGGAAGGGCTGGAGAGTTGAACCAAGTAGAGATAGTTCAGGGAGGAAATGGACTGATGGAAGAGAATGGGTTGAAACACAGAGAGAGGGTGTGCAGGATGGACGATTTACAGCTATCAGAAAGAAGAGGGAAAATGTCCCACAGAAGCTAGAGCTATCTAATATGCATTTCTATCCTGTACTGAAAATGTTTTGCAATCTCCATTTGCAGGGTCTTAAAATGATTGTGTTTACAGATGGGAGACTCAAATTGAATGTCACATCGAAATCTGGTCGAGTCACTTGATTCAATGTGACCTGAATACCACCAGTCTTCAAATGTGGAAGGAGAACTATTGTCTGTTCTGTTTGTGGGAAAAGATTTCATACATTGATGAGGCTGAAAAAGTTCCAAGAAGCACATACACTCCTGAGTGAGAATGTTTCAGCCAACTGACTGTGGAAGGACCTTTAACCAGATACAACCCTGAGTGAGAGTGTTCCAGTGAACTGACTGAATAAAAAAAAAGTTACCCAGGTTGAAGCATATTCACATCGTTCACAGCAGGGAAAACTCAATGTGTTCTTTATGTAGACAAGGCTTGAGCTGAGTGTCCAACCCTGACATCATGGAGAAACCGTGGAAATGTGGGGAGTGTGGGAAGGGATTCAGAACCCCATCTGAGGTCGAAATTCATCGTCGCAGTCACACAGGGGAGAGGCCGTTCACCTGCTCGGAGTGTGGGAAGGGCTTCGCTGATTCATCGCACTTGCACAGACACCAGCGCACCCACGCCCGGGCAAGTCCTTTCATCTGCTCCAAGTGTGGGAAGGGGTTCACCCGCTCACAACACCTGGAGACACACGGACGCATACACACCGGGGAGAGGCCGTTTATCTGCTCTGTATGTGGGAAGGGATTCACTCAGTCATGCAACCTGCTGATACACCAGCGGCTTCACACCAGCGAGCGGCCGTTCACCTGTTCTGTGTGCAGGAAGGGATTTGCTCAGTTATCCCACCTGCTGAAACACCAACAAGTTCACAAGTGACCGCAGGGAATGGATTCTGCTGTTTGCTGTTAATTTGATCCAGGGAGTTCATCAATTTTGTTCCGAAAGGTTTGCTGCAGATAAAGCTAACCTTGACACTGCTCGTGGAGCCTACTGCAGGAGACTCCAATCCAAAGAAAATTAGAATTGGATGTCATCGCCTTGAGATAAAAGGGAAACGGATGAGTGAATGCACTGTTCAGTGAGTGAGCATCGTTCACATGGACACAGTGAGGTTATATCACGGTGAGGAACCAGACAGAGATTAAAGATGTGGAGTTGATGCTGAGGAAACTGATAGAAGTCCTTCACTAGTTTTCAACACAGTTAATAAAGGAAAGTAAATATAAAGTGGGTTAATCTGTAAATCACTGCCTGGGTTTGTCGCTTTCGTTAGCTGCAAAGCCGATAAGCTTGTCCTGACTTGTGCAGGACATTGGTGAGGCTTCTTCTGGAGTACTGCATCCAGTTCTGGTCATCCTGTTTATTAAAGATATTATTAAGATGGAGAAGATTCAGAAGAGATTTACCAGGATGTTGCTGGGTATGGAAGGTTTGAGTTATAAGGAGAGGCTGGATAAGCTTGGACTTTGGTCATTAGAGAGTAGGAGATTGAGGGGTGACCTTATAGAGGTTTATAAAATCATGACGGGTATAGATAAGGTGAATGGCAGGTGTCTTTTCCAAAGGGTGTGGGATTTCAAGAACAAGTGGCACATTTTTAAGGTGAGAGGAGAAAGATTTATAAAAAGACAAAAGGCAACTTTTTTTTACACGGAGAGTGGTTCGTGTGTGAAATCAACTTCCAAAGGAAGTGGTGGATGCGGGTACAATTGCAATGTTTAAAAGATGTTTAGATAAGTATGCGGATAAGAAATGTTTGGAGGGATATGGGCCAAGCGCAGGCAGGTGGGACTAGTTTAGTTTGAGATTATGGTCGACGTGGACTTGTTGGACCGAAGGGTCTGTTTCCATGCTGTGTGACTTTAAGACTTTGTCTCATTAAAGTTGATTCAAAACTAAGCTCTGTTGATGAGAACTCCCACCAATACCGCTTACAAATTGTCCCTGCAGGCTGTGGGCCATTGGATGAAGTGTGTTGGGTGGATGATGTGGTCAACCTTGTCGAAGGCTGCGGAGATATTGGGAAGGGCGGGTTCACACGTGTCTCAGTCACGGAGAATGTCACATGACAAGACGCCAACTGGGGATCTGTGGTGGGGATGGAAACCCCGATTGGAGGCATTCCGAGGAAAGATGGGCACGGATTTGTGAGGTGACAAAACGTTTCGGGACTTTGGAGGGGAGGTCGGAGATGTAGCAGTGGTTTGCAAAGAGGTCAAGGGATTTGTGTTACGAGGATTTTGTTTTTAATTCGTTCACGGGATGTGGCCATTGCTGGCCAAGGCAACAACGGCCCTTCCCTAATTTCCCAGAGGGCAGGTTCAGAGTCATCTTAAACAAAGAGACCTTGGGGTGCAAGTTCATATTTCCTTGAAAGTGGAGTTGCAGGTGGACAGGATAGTGAAGAAGGCTTTTGGTACGCTTGCCTTTGTTGCTCAGTGCACGGATCACAGGACGTTGGTTAGGCCACTTCTGCAATTCTGCATTCAGTTCTGGTCTCCGTGCTGCAGGAAAGATGTTGTGAAACTTGTAAATCTTTTCTTAACCCTTTCAAGGATGTTGCTGGGCTTGGAGGGTTTAAGCCACAGGAAGAGGCTGAATAGGCTGGGGCTATTTTCCCTGGAGCATCAGAGGGGTGACCTTATGGAAGTTTATAAAATCATGAGGCACATGGATAGGGTGAATAGACAAGGTCTTTTCTCTGGGGTGGGGGTGTCCAGAACTAGAGGGGCATAGGTTTAAGGTGAGAGGGGTAAATATTTAAAAGGGACCTGGGGGGCAACTTTTTCACACAGAGGGTGGTGCGTGTATGGAATGAGCTGCTAGAGGAAGTGGGTGGGGGCTGGTACAATTGCAACATTTAAAAGGCATCTGAATGAGTACATGGATAGGAGGGGTTTAGAGGGATATGGGCCAAACGCTGGCAAATGGGACTAGATTTATTTAGGATATCTGGTCGGCATGGACATGTTGGACTGAAGGGTCTGTTTCTGTGCTGTAGATCTCTATGACTATATCCACATTGCTGTAGATCTGAGGATTCACTTATCGGTGACACGAGGTGAATGTTTACTCCTTAAAGGACATTAGTGAACAAGGTGGGATTTTATGATGACATAAGAACAAGAGTAAACCAATTGGCTCTTCAAGCCCCTACGATCATGGCTGATCTGATTTTAATCTCTGTGTCCCCAATAATCTTTATCCCCCTTGGTCACTGAAAGACTCTGCATCCGCTGCCTTTGGGACCGTTGCCATTAGCCTGGCCTCCAATTGCAGATTCTGTTACATTTGAACTTTCAGCATCTGGGATTTCTCCCCAGCACTTTCGGGTCAGATTCAGGATTATGAATCCAGTGATGTCCCTATTGTGCCACAGAGAGAGAGTGAGAGAGAGAGAACTGATAATAATACAAGTGAAAATGGGGGATGTCGGGCGATCTGGCGTTTACCGGGTTTTGGGTTTTTGGAACAGGAGGTAGATATCACAGGCAGGCTGGTTCCGGAGCTAAGACGGTTGGCTTATGAGGAGAGATTGAGTTGACTGGGACTGTACTCATTGGAATTTAGATGAATGATCTTATAGAAACATATAAGATTATGAAGGGGATAAGAGAGAAGCAAGGAGGTTGTTTCCACTGGTGGATGAAACTAGAACAAGAGGGCATTGCCTCAAAATAAAGGGGGAGCAGATGTAGGACTGAGTTGAGGAGGATCTTCTTCACCCAAAGGGTTGGGAGTCCATGGAATTCTCTGCCCAGTGAAGCAGTTGAGGTTACCACCTTGAATATTTTTAAGGTGAAGATAGGTTATTGAACAGTAAAGGAATTCAGGGTGATGGTGAGCGGGCGGGTAAGTGGAGCTGAGTCCATGAGAGAGATCAGCCATGATCTTATTGAAAGGCGGAGCAGGCTCGAGGGGCCAGATGGCCTACTCCTGCTCCTATTTCTTATGTTCTTATGACAGGGTGAGGGACAACATGAGGGAGTGATGGGAGAGAAACTAAAGGAAGATGTGTGTTCAAGGCTCTTCAACAGTGTGGACCCAGTGGGCTAGTGCTGGAAGGGAGGGAAGCAGCAAAGGCAACTGATTAGTGACAGAGGAACTCCTTGCATTTGGAGCTGAGGATGCAGGGGAGGAGGAGAGCCCTTTCAAAAGGAACTCGGTGGTGTTACAGATATTAAATCTATCATGTGTCTAACGCAAAGCTGATTTGTGTAACTTCTCTCCAGAATGTTAATCGCAATAGCTAGGCCTGAGCCACGTTTGCTGTTGTCTGTTGGGTGTTTTATCTCCGCTGATGTCAATAAACCCTGTAATGGGGGGAGAATTAAATTTTCTGGCAAGTGTTTGATTTTGTTTGTAACTGTTACCGTTCAAATAAAGTACCGGTCTTCAGCCCATTTTGCTGGACCGATCTAAACAGTGATTTGCTTGCACATTGGAAGCAATGTGGTCCCTGTATTTAATGGGGTCTGCCTTACATTTGGAACCGCAGATGCAGGCCAAGTGAGGTCTTTGTGGAACAGCTTTTGTTCTGTCTGCAATCTGGACCCTGAGTTGCAATCATCTGGCCTCAGCGCAGACCTGGCGTGGCGGCCTCTCAGCCCAGCGTGGCGATCTCCCGTCCCGTGTGGTGGTGCCTCGGCGGTGCGGGGCAGATTTCTCTGCCCAGTGCAGCCTCAGCACAGACATCTGGTCTCGAGGTGGTTCCAGAGTGATCTCCCAGTCTCTAGAACCTCAAAGTGAAGACCGCTACAGTCTGGATTCAAGGCCCAGTGCAGACTGGAGGCTGGGTGCAAGTGTGCACTGGGTTGGTAGAACAGTTGTTCTGAACTTTTTTATTTCTGTATTTTCTAATTTATTCCTACGATCTGCAATGCTGGACTTGTTATTTCTTTATTTTCCAACGTTTTTCACACTAAGAACTTGTACTGAAGAACTGTAGCTAGGTACTTTTGGACCTAAGATGGCACTGTAAGTGGCGAGTTGCAAACTTTTCACTGCACTCGTTTGAGTACATGTGACAATAAAGCCAAAGTTCATTCATTTATTCATTTGTTCAGTTCAGTTCGGTTCAGTTCATTTATTCATTTCACTTCAGTTCAGTTCAGTTCATTTCACTTCAGTTCATTTGTTCATTTCACTTCAGTTCCGTTCAGTTCATTTGCTCATTTCACCTCTGTTCATTTCACTTCAGTTCAGTTTCGTTCAATCACTCTGACCCACCTCCACTCTGATTTCTTGTTCTCGACCTCCCACCATGTTTCACATGTAACCTGTGGGTTTCCACAGGGACCAAAGCAGGGACCACACCTGTTTACAATATAGATTAATGACTTGAAGGAAGGAAGCAAATGTACTTCAGGCAAATGTGCAGATGACGCAAAAAGAGACGGAAAGGCGAGTTGGGAGGGGGCAATAATGATGGTTAAGTAAGTGGGCAATATGTTGCAGAATGGCATATAATGCAGGAGCTGTTCATTTTGGAAGGTAGGACAAAAGAATAGGGTATTGTTTAAATGGAGTAAAGCTGCAACACAAAGAGACGTGAGGGGGACTTGTGCACAAAACACAGAAAGCTAGCACACAGGGGGCAGCAGGTAATCAGGAAGGGCTAATGGGATGCTGGCCCTTATTTCAAGGCGGGGGCGGGGGTGGGGTTGGAGAATAAGAGTTGGGAAGTCTTACTACAACTGTGCAAGGTGCTGGTTGAGACCACATCCGGAGGACTGTGAGCAGTTTTGATCCCCTTATTTAAGGAAGGATGTCATTTCGTTGGAGGCTGTTTGGCGAAAGCTCACTAGCATGATCCCCAGCATTGTCTTATGATTAAAGGCTAAATAGACGTGACTCACTGGATGTTGAGAAGAATGAGAGGTGATCTTGTTGAAACGTGTAGGATTCCTAAGGAGATTGGCAGGGTGGAGAGGTTTCCCCTCATGGGAGAGTCTGGGACCAGAGGGCATAGTCTCGGAATGAAAGGGGAGCCAATTGAAGACTGAGATGAGGAGGAATTTCTTCTGTCAAAGGGTTGCGAGAGTTTGGAACTCCTTGCCACAGAGAACTGTGGGGCCAGAGAGTCCTTGTGTACATTTAAGGCTGAGATAGATTCTCGATCAGTTGGAAAATCAAGGGTTATGGGGAAAGGGCAGGAAAGTGGGCATGAGGAATGTTGGATTAGCCATGATTCTGTTGGACGTCATACTGAGACCTCTGCTGGAGTACTGCATCCAGTTCTGGTCACCCTGTTGTAGGATGGATATTAAGCTGGAGAGGGTTCAGAAGAGATTTAACCAGGATGTTGCCGGGAATGGAGAGTTTGAGTTATAACGAGAGGCTGGTTAGGCTGGGACTTTTTTCACTGGAGTGTAGGAGGTTGAGGGGTGACCTTTATGGAGGTGTATAAAATCATGAGGGATATAGATAACAAGGTGCAGGGCTGGATGAACACAGCAGGCCAAGCAGCATCATAGGAGCAGAGAGGCTGACGTTTCGGGCCTAGACCCTTTAAGGTGAATAGTGGGTGTCCTTTCCCCAGTGTGCGGTATTTTAAGACTAGGGGGTATATTCTTAAGGTGAGAGGAGAAAGATTTATAAAGGACAGAAGGGGCAACTTTTTTTATACAGTGTCATTTGTGTATAGAATAAATTTCCAGAGGAAGTGGTGGATGCGGGTACAGTTACAATGTTTAAAAGACATTTGAACAAGTATATGAATAAGAAATGTTTGGAGGGATATGGCCCAAGCGCAGGCAGGTGGGACTAGTTTAGTTTGGAATTATGGTCAGCATGGACTGGTTGGACTGAAGGGTCTGTTTCCGTGTTGAATGACTCTGACTCCATGAATAGTAGAGCAGGACCGAGGGGCCAAATGGCCTGTTTCGTCTCCTGTGGTCTTATGATTCCAGTGAAACTTGTTGGGAGCTGGGTGGAGAGAAGTTCATCTTTCGATTCGGCAGTTGATAACTCACCGGACAACACGTGGAGTTTTGCACTTTCGAAGCCAACAGAGCATTGTCAGGATGCGATGATGTCAGGGCTGGTCCAAGCCCTCTACTCCTGCATTTGGCCTATACCCATAAATATCGTTTAGGTTAGCAAATATCTATCAATGTCAGATTAAAAATTTACATTCAGAAGTCACTTGAAGAAGAGTGTTTGAAACCTCTATCCAGTTTTGCATGGGGAAATCACAATCAATGAGGTCTACAGCACAGAAAAAAGGGTACCGCAGCCAATTGCCTCCACACTGGTCAAAAAACATGCACCTAACTATTCTAACCCCTTTTTCCAGCACTTGGCCCATACCCTTGTCATTGCAAGTGCACATCTACATGCTTTCATTGAATCCCTACAGTATAGAATCAGACCATTCAGCCCATCGAGTCCACATTGGCCTTCTGAAGAGTGCATCCCACCTTAATCCACCCTATTCCTGTAACCCTGCATTTTCCATGGCTAACCCACCTAGCCTGCACATTCCTGGGCACTACAGACAATGTAGCATGGCCAGTCCACCTAACTTGCTCATCTTTGGAATGTGGGAGGAAATCCACGCAGATACAGGAGAAGGTGCAAACTCCACACAGACAGTGGCTCGAAGGGGGAACTGAACCTGAATCCCTGGCACTGAGGGGCAGCAGCGCTAACCACTGAGAGACCGTGCCGTGCCTTTCTTCAATGTTATGAGGGTTTCTGCCTCTCCCACCATTACAGGCAAGGAGTTCTGGATTCCCACTATCCTCTGGGAGAAAAACAAGTTTCCTTGCATCCAACCCTCCCCGCCACCCCACCCAAACCTCCTGCCCCTTTCCTTAAATCTGTATCCTCTGGTCATTGATCCCTTCCTGAATACTAAACCTATGCCCCTCACATTTTCCATACAGACGCATCACAGCTTGGTATGGCAACTGCTCTTCCCAAGACTGCAACAAATTACAGAGTCGTGGACACAGCCCAGTCCATCATAAAAACCAGCCTTCCTTTTCTTGACTCCACCTTAACTTTCCAAAGCCTCGGGAAAGCAGTCAACATAATCAAAGAGCCCTCCCACCCCGGTTACTCTCTCTTCCACCCTCTTCTGTCAGGCAGAAGCTACAAAAGTTTGAAGACACGTACCAACAGATCCAAGAACAGCTTCTTCCCTGCTGTTATCAGACTCACAAATGGGCCTCTCACATATTCGAGTTAATCTTTCTCTGCGCCTTTTCTGTAGCTGTAACGCTACATCCTGCTTTTCTACTACACTGATGTACTTACGTAAGGAATGATTAGCATGCAAAACAATACATTTCACTGTATCTTGGTACATGTGACAGTAATATATCCAAACAAATCAAATCCATAGCTTCCCACCTCATAGTCCCCCAAATCTGCACAGACTACTTCTACTTCTTTCCCAAAATCGACCAACAGGACTGCCCCTGACAGACCCACTGTTTTAGCTTGTTTGTGCCCCACTGAGCTTACTCCTTCCAATTTATCTCTATTTTATATTGCCCCTGTTCAGTCTCTTCCCACCTACATTTGTGATTCTTCTGACCCTGTACGTCACTTCCGTCATTTCCATTTGTCTGGTCCTAGCTGCTGTCTCCTCATTGTTGATTGCTCTACACATCTATCCACCTTCAGGACAGTCTGAAGGCTCACTGCATCTTCCTTGAAAAGAAGCCTGCATGGTCTGCAACCACCAGCATCACCCTTCTGCTTGCTGTGCTTAGTTGCCTTTGAACTGAATGGTTTGCTCGGCCATTTCAGAGGGAAGCTGACAGTCAGCCTTCTTGCTGTGGGTCTGGAGTCACATGTAGGCCAGACTAGGTGAGGATGGCAGATTGCCTTCTCTGAAGGACATTAGTGAACCAGATGGGTTTTGCCCCAACAATGGATTTCTAAATCCAGATTATTATTGAATTCAAATTCCACTATCTACCATGGCAGGATTCAAACCTGGGTCCCTGGAAAAATAACTGGATTTATCGTTAAAACCACTAGATCATCATTTCTCCTATTAGTGAAATGATTAGGATTAACCTCCCCTATTATTAGTGTACCAGATGGATTTTCCTGAAAATTGAGGATGGATTCACGGTCATCGCTAGACTCTTAATTCCAGATTTTTATTGAATTCAAACTTTATCATCTGCCATACGGTGGGATTCGAACCTTGGTCCCCAGAACATTGAAACAAAATAAAGAACTGCAGATGCTGGAAATCTGAAACAGAAACAGAAATTGCTGGAGAAACTCAGCAGTTCCAGCAGAATCTGTAGAGAAAAAAAGGAGTCACTGGACTCGAAACGTTAACTCTGTTTTCCCTACTGGCCCCAAAATGTTAACTCTTGTTTCCTCTCTCAATAGGTGCTGAGTTTCTCCAGCAAATTCTGTTTTTGTTCGCCCAGAACATGACCTGGGTCTCTGGATTAAGCAGTCTAGTGATAATAGGTCATCTCCTCATTGTGGTTTGTACATGCCTTGTACTTAATTAAGTTTGAAGAAGAGTCAGACCCGAATGCAAACTTTTTCTGATGAAGGGTCTAGGCCCGAAACGTCAGCCTCTCTGCTCCTATGATGCTGCTTGGCCTGCTGTGTTCATCCAGCTCTGCACCTTGTTGTCTCGGATTCTCCAGCATCTGCAGTTCCTACTATCTCTGATGCAAAATTTCCCAGCCTTTGTTTCATGGTTCACTCCCATTGGTTGGAGGACCAGCACGCCCGTTCATTCCCATTGGTTGGCGAACAGGGCCCCATTCACTCCCATTGGTTGGAGGACCAGCCCGCCCATTCACTTCCATTGGTTGGAAGACCGGCCCCCATTCAATGTCCTCCAGCCCCGCCCCTTTTCACTCTGATTGGTTGGAGGACCAGCCCCATTCGCCAATACCCGTTCTACGCCTCCACTTCCTCCCCCTCCATTTATTCCGATTGGTTGGAAGACCAGCCCCATTCACGGCTCACCCCCCCGCCCCGCCCCTATTTACTCCGATTGGTTGGAGGGCCAGGCGCTGTTCATTGGACCTGCCCCCATCCTTTCACTTCGCTTGCTTTCTATTGGTTGGAGCTGCTGACAATCATCCGGGACCCGTGTCAAACAGGGGCGTGCGTGCTGCGGTTGCGAAGGCTGCCCCGCAGAACGCATGCGCGGTCCCCATCTTTGTGCGGATCAATGTTTTGGTTCCAGTACCAATCTTTTTATTGTGTTCCAATTGCACAGGGTTTGTTAAAAGGAGAAGAATTATCCAGAATTTTGTTGTATGTTTCGATCCAGTCCAGGGGGGAAGGAAGAGTGTGTAAGAGTGAGATCTGTGCTGGAAGTGAGGACTGTTTATAAACTCCTTTTACAGGGCATTGGAGGCAGGGAATGTGACTCCTCTCCCTCTACAATATCACATTAAGTGCTGGCAGGGTGACTGCGTTTATCAGGAGGTGAAGATCATCGGCTTCTGAATGTGGAAAGAGAGTCACTTCTTGGTTCTGTATGTGGGGAAATTATTTCAAACTTCACCCAGACTGAAAATACACTACCCAAGTGAGATTGTTCCAGCGAACTGACTGTGGAAAGAGATTTAACCGCTCACACAGACTGAGAGACATTGTTCCAGCGAACTGACTGTGGAGATAGATTTAACCGCACACACAGACTGAGAGAGAGTGTTCCAGCGAACTGACTGTGGAAAGAAATTTAACCGCTCACACAGACTGAGAGAGAGTGTTCCAGCGAACTGACTGTGGAAAGAGATTTAACCGCTCACACAGACTGAGAGAGAGTGTTTCCAGTGAACTGACTGTGGAAAGAGATTTAACCGCTCACACAGACTGAGAGAGATTGTTCCAGCGAACTGACTGTGGAAATAGATTTAACCGCTCACACAGACTGAGAGAGAGTGTTCCAGCGAACTGACTGTGGAAATAGATTTAACCGCACACACAGACTGAGAGAAAGTGTTCCAGCGAATTGCCTGCGGAAAAAGCTCTGACCAGTTACATAGCTGAAGAAAAGCACCACACCAATCACAACGGAAAAAGGACTGAGTGTGGCTTCAACCGATTATCCAACCGGAGCGGCACACAGCCACCTGCAACATGGAGAATCCGTGGAAATGTGAGGACTGTGGGAAAAGATTCACTTGTTCGTCCCGGCTGGATATACACCGGCGCATTCACACCGGGGAGAGGCCGTTCACCTGCTCCGAGTGCGGGAGGAGGTTCACTCAGTCGTCGGGCCTTTCTCTGCACCAGCGGGTTCACACCGAGGAGAAGCCGTTCGCCTGCTTTGTGTGCGGGGAGAGATTCGATCAGATAGACGCCCTCCAGTCCCACCACTACTTTCACACCAAGGAGGATCCGTTCATCTGCGCGTCCTGCGGGAAGACCTTCAGGCGGACAGCGGATCTCCAAGAGCACCGACGCACTCACAGTGGGGAGCAGCCGTTCACCTGCTCCGTGTGTGGCAAGGGGTTCCCGTGGTCGTCCCAGCTGCTAACACACCAGCGAGTGCACAGTGCGGATCGGCCGTTCAGCTGCTCCGTGTGTGGGAAGGGATTTGCTCAGCCATCCGAACTGCTTAAGCATCAGCGCGTTCATAAGTGACTGCCGTTAATTCAGATTGTTCACAATATCGATAGTCTAACACTATTAGGTTTGTTTCTGCTGTCGTTAACAGCCCCGGTAACAAGCCAGAGTTTAATATTTCATCCGTTGTTCAGAGCTGTTGTTTTTTTTTTGTAAAAGTGCAAATCTTTCCTCCTTCATTCAAGAGCTCTCACCAGGAACTCGTTTGTAATAAAATGACAAACATTTACTTCTGTCCTAAATGGATCTTTGGTGCGAAATCTACAAATCAGTTCCACCAATGAACATCTCTGATTAGAAACTGTCCATGAATCGTTGCTGACTATCCACCCACGTTCTGCGCTGTGACCTCTCCATTCCGAAGTTAAATTGCCGAGGGGCGTGAGATAGTCAGTGAAATATGTTACAGGCTGAAGCTTTGGAAGTCGCCGTGTTCAGTTACTTACAGCAACATGTGGGAAAAGCAGGACCCACGCCGTGGACGAGTTTGAGAATGCCCTCATCTGAGATAACGCGTGTCGCTGAAGCGAAAAGCATAGCTGACCTGATGCACAGCATCAACCCCACAATCTCTCCATCAGCGTCAGCAAAACGAAGGAGCTGGTCATCGACTTCAGGAAGCGGAGTAGAGGGCTCGCCCCTGTCTGCATCAATGGTGCTGAAGTGGAGATGGTCGACAGGGTCAAGTTCCTGGGAGTGATGATCACCAACAATCTGTCCTGGTCCGCCCACATCGACCTGTCGGTCAAAAAAGCACAACAACGCCTCTACTTCCCCAGGAGGTTAAGGAAATTAGTCATGTCCAAAAGGACTCTTAGCAACTTTTATAGATGCACCATAGAAAGCATCCGATCTAGATGCATCACAGCTTGGTATGGCACCCTGCTTCGCCCAGGACCATGAGAAACTACAGAGAGTTGTGAACGCAGCCCAGTCCATCACGCAAACAAGCCTTCCATCCACCGACTCCGTCCGTACTTCCCGCCGCCTCGGAAAAGCAGCCAACATCATCAAAGACCCCCTCCCACCCCGGATCTCTTTCCACCCGCCCTTCCATCAGGCAGAAGATACAAAGGTTTATATTAGTGTACAAAAACAGCTTCAAGAGCAGGTTTTGCCCAGCTGTTATCCGACTTGTGAGCGGACTTCTCAAATGTTAATCTCTCTCTCTGCACCTTCTCTGAGGCTGTAACACTATATCCTGCACTCTGTTCTGTTACCCCGATGCACTTTGTATGGTACAATCCACCTGCAGAGCACACAAAACAAGACTGCTCGCCATGTTTCGGTACGGTGACGACAATTAATCAAACTCAGACTCAACAGCCAGAACACTGCCAAACTTGAGAGGAACCAAAAGGCCGTTGCATGCAGTTGCGGGGTGAGATATGTGCGAATAAACCCTGGATCGACCGGCGTCAAGTCCATTCCCTTCTGCCTGTGACAATGCCTGGTTTGATGGGGTATTTCAGTCTCCTGTTGGGTTGCTTCCCGTGAAATTCACAGATGATGAAGTCCTCTCTGAAAGAAACAAACAGGTGGATGACAGGTTGAAAACTCAGTAAAGTGTGAGCTATACTCTGTGGCTTAGTACTTCATACCTGCACCATAATGTGTTCAAACTCATTGGTGTTTGATGGCAGCATCATTTGACGAACTCCTATGGCTCCCTGGACTCGTTGAGTTGCACGAGGGATCCCTTGGGCTCGAAAAAGTCATCCAGTTACTTAACAGGAAAAACCGGGATTCCCAGCCGAACTGCTTGAACGCTGAAAGACCTGTCCGCTGCCACGCGTTTGCGCCCTCCTTCTCTCTGAATTCAGATCCGTTCCTCAGGACAAGCACAGATCACCGTAACACGCAAATGCTACAGGTGAGATTGCAACGACTGCAAGGGGTTGTGTCATTCCTCAAAGTTGCAGAGAAAGGGCCTTCGCTCGACTCATGTTCAAAATGCTGCCTTGTAGTCGCAGGCCAGGAATGCAGCTCAGTTTCCATCCGGCATATTGACAGCGGGATGTGATCTTCTGCAGCTACAAGATAACTGAAAGGTACCACCTTACCTTCTGGTTCATGGCTTGTACTGAACCGTTGTTAGCAGATTAGGACTCGGCAAGATTTTGAGAAAACTCGTTATCCACCAAAACTCCACAGACTGATCCACCCCTTTAACAACCACAAGCCCCGTCTGACATCATTGTGTCCATCAGTTTCAGGGGGAGAAATGGAGTGAAACTGACACCAGTGCTAAAATCAATAACCCTCAACGATGTCTTATAACTGTGAATAACTGCTCTCTAGGAGATGTCTCATTGAATAGTGAGATGAGGAACTGGGGGAAGGTGACAGCCTAGTGGTGTTATCGCTGTTCTGTTAATCCAGAGACCCAGGTGATATTCTACAGACCTGGGTTCAAATCCCACCATGTCAGATGGTGGAATTTGAATTTAATAAAGAAACAAATTTGGAATTAACTGTCTAAATGATGACCATGAAACATTGTTGATTGTCAAGAAAAACCCCTCTGGTTCACTAATGCCCTTTAGGGAAGGAAACTGCCATCCTTATCTGGTCTGGCCTATATGTGACTTCAGACCCACAGCAATGTGGTTGTCCCTTAACTGCCCTCTGGGCAACTAGGGAGTGGGCAATAAAGGCTGGCCTAGCCAGCAACACCTTCATCCTGTGATTGAGTGAGGAAGAATGAGATCAGTACATTTGAACTCCTGAAAGGGGATTGTTTTAGATAAACTCATTGAACTCAAGAAGGATGATTCCCCTGATTGAAATGGATTGCATCTCGGAAAAAGGCAGCAGTGCCATTTCCACACATTTTTAATTCTTCGCTTAAACATTTGCGGAGGCAGAAGACTGCTGGTTGGTTAACACACTCCCTGCATTTAATACAACAAATCTTAGACCAATCGTAGAGTGACTCAGCATGGAAACGGACCCCACAGTCCAACCAGTGCATCCCATCCGTAATCCCAAACTAAACTAGCTCCACCTGCCTGCGCTTGGCTCATAAGCCTCCCAACCTTTCCTAAGCATTTTCTTATCTCAATGTCTTTTAAATGTTGTAACTGTACCCACATCCACCACTTCCTTGGAAGTTCATTCCACTCATGAACCACTCTCTGAGTAAAAAAGTCGCCCCTCATGTCTTTTTTAAACCTTTCACTTCTCACCTTAAAAATATGTCCCCTCATCTTGAAATCCCCCACCCTAGGGAAAAAAAACCTACCATTCACTTTACCTATACCCGTCATGATTTTATAAACCTCTATAAGGTCACCCTTCAGTCTCCTACACTCCAGACTACCCAACCTCTCCTTATAACTCAAACCTTCCATTCCTAGCAACATGTTAGTAAATGAATGAAATACTGCGGAAGAGGCCTCACCAACATCCCATACAACCTCTACATAAGGAAGGAATGTTAATAAAATCCCCCTGAAGGGGGCTTGGCAAACATGAACAGGAAAGGAATGAAATGTACCAGTCAGGAGTAGGCCACTCAGCCCTTTGAGCCTGTTCTGCCATCCAATAAGATCGCGGCTGTTCTGATCACTCCACATTCCTGCTGACCCCCATTAACCTGTCACCCCTTTGCTTCATAAGGATCAATATAAATACTACTTAACCATGTTCACTGTAAATCCACCAGCTTTTCAGGAAAAGGCTTCCCTTGCTCAAACCTTTGAGTATAGGAGTTGGGGACGTCATGTTGACGTTGTACAGGACATTGGTGAGGCCCCTTCTGGAGTGCTGTGTCCAGTTCTGGTTGCCCTGTTATGGGAAGGATGTTATTAAACAGGAGAGGGTTCAGAAAAGATTTATCAGGATGTCACTGGGAATGGAAGATTTCAGGTATAAAAATAGGCCGGGCTGGGACATTTTTCACTGGAGCGTATGAGGTTGAGAGGTGACCTCATAGAGGTTTATAAAATCATGAATGGTATAGATAAGATGAATGGTTAGGGTCTTTTCGCTAGGGCGGAGGAGTTGAAAACTGGACAGCATTTTTTAAGGTGAGAAGGGAAAATTTAAAAAAGGACATGAGGAGCAACTTTTTTTACACAGAGCGCGGCTTGTGTATGGCATGAACTCGCAGAGGAATTGGTGGATGTGGGTACACCATTTAAAAGACATTTGGGTACGTACATGAATAAGAAATGTTTGGAGGGATATGGGCCAGGAGCAGACAGGTGGGACTAGTTCAGTTTGGGATTAGGGTTGGCATGGACTGATTGGACCGAAGGGTCTGTCTCCATGCGGTATGATTCTAGACTCTCTGAGAGAAAAATCAGTTTTTCTTGTCTCTGTTTTAAATGGGTGGCTTCTCGTTTTTTTACACTGTGACCCCTAATTTCCAGATTCTCCCATGAGGGGAAAAGTCCTCTGTCCACCCAACCTGTCAGGATCTTACACATTTCAATCAAGTCAGCTCTGACTCATCTAATACAGCGAATACAAACCAAATTGTGCGACCTTTCCTCAGAAGACTTTTTCCAGGTATCAGTTTAATAAATCTACTGTGAGCTCATCCCAATCTTCATTGAAAGTGACCAGGATTGCACACAGTCCTCCCTGTGTGGGCTCACCAGTGCCTTGTATCACTGAAGCACAATCTGTTTTGTATTCAATTTCCCTAACAATAATACATCGGTTTCCCTAGTTACTGTACCTCCATACCAATTAATAAGGTAAAGGTGATAGGCTTAGATTTGAAAACATGGGAGGAGTCTCAAATGCTACACAAACTCTGGCAGGGACTGATTGGATCAGAAGTCCAGTTTATATATGTCTGTGTAAACCTACAGAAGGCTTCAACACATTGTCCAACCTGGAGAGAGAGAGATGCGAGAATCACCGCAGTGTGGAGAAACTTCATAAATGTGGGGGCTCTGTTCCCCATCCCACCTGGAGATACACTGGCATGCTTATTGGGGAACAGGCCGCTCACCTGCATCACATGGCATCAGCAAAGACAGAGTTAGGAGAAAGCCTGTGTGTGAGAAGAGACACCAACCCTTCGAAGACTGTCTGGAAGAATGATGCTGCTCCTTCACGTGTTAATATAGCCTGTAGGTGCTTGTTCTTTATTTGTCAGTGTTTTAATATAATTAGTCAGTAGGCGT